CAGCACAGTGAAGAGTGTGTCTCCGGTTACCTGATCTCAGCGAGGGACCAGCCTGCCTGGTTGCCATGGAGACAAGCTGGAGCAGGTCTGATGGGACAGGCAGTGTCACTTGCAGTTGTGCCAAGCAGGTGTCAGCTGCGTCCCTGACACACTGTGTGTTGCCACCTGTAAGCCACTGGATAGCTTTCCCCGGCCACCAGGGTACTGCTCAGCCAATGAGAGCTCACGAGATGACATCATGGTTGTCTCTGCTGTTCCACTGGGTCACTGTTATCACCCCATATCCTTGCTAGGGTCTTAAGGTGGGAGGCGGGGAAATGTTCTGAGACCCTCTCTGAACGGGTCTCTAATGTGCGTATTTTACGGCTGTACCCAGAGGCCTCAGCTGAGATCAGGGCCTCATCACGCTGGCTGCTGGTCAGGGTCACCGAGATGGAAGGCCCCATCATGCCAGATGCTGCACAGACACAGAAAAGGGACTGCAGAGGAGCTGCATGACAGAGGGAGGGACAGAAGAGCCTTGAGTGCGAAGAGAAGCAGGGATGGAGAAAGAGGCAGGACAGTCCAGTGGTTAGAGTGCTGGGAGACTGGGTTCAATTCCCAGCTCTTCTCGTGTAACACTGATCAAATCATTTAGTGCCTCAGTCCCTCTGCCTCCATGGCAGGGCCCCAATTTCCCTCACACTAAGGCTTCTGTATGTCCCCCATTCTCCCCTCATGGCAGGGGCTCTATGTACACCCTTCTCCCCTCCACCCTGTACCAGGTTCTCCTATTATCCTCCAATGCCAGCAGCTCTGTGTGCCACCTCCCCCCATATCAGGGCCCCAAGTTTGCCCCATGCCAGGGGCTCTGTCTGCCCCCCTTCCCCAGCTTCTCCCCATGTAGGAACCCTGTGTATCCCCTTCTCCCCTCCCCCGTACCAGGGTCCCCCATTCCCCCCCCATGCCAGGGTGATATGCACACCCCCATGTCCCCCCCATACCCTCCTTTTCTCCCAACTCTTTGGCAGGGGAACATTCAAGGTGTCAATATGGGAGAGGGGGGGTGTTATGCTGGCAGGTATTAACTGGCACCATCAACCAGTTGTTTAACCAACAGACAATTGCAAAGATGCCAGAGGCCATGGTTAATCAGGCACCAGGGGCTCTGGGGGTGTCCCCCCCGCTCAGTTTTTAGCTCTCCCCCAGCTCACTAGAGCTCTGCCCCTAGATGTAGCACATTCCCTGTGATGCTGGCAGGGATCAGATGCCGCCTCCCACGGTTACTGCCTTGCACCCAGAGCAATGCTGTGGTGCTGAGGGTGAGGCCTGGCTCTCCCCCTCAACCGCTGGGTGAACCCTGCACCCGGCAGCACCAGTGCTTTACCTGTTTCACCCTATGTGCCCAGTGCCTTTAACAATCCAATAGGCTCTGAGCTGGGGGTGAGAGCTCCTGGTGCTTGTCAGGGGGCAGAGGGGTAGGAGGGAGGGTGAGGGCTTGTGGGAGGGGGACAGACTGTTCCCGGCTGGGAAGGGGCTTCCTGGTAGTTCCTACTTTGGCCTTCTTATGTAAGTTCCTTGGTGGCTGGTGCCCATGGCCCTCCTCTCCGCAGTGACTGGGTCCTGTGTGCCCCCTGCCCCCTACCCAGGTGCCAGTGCTCTGTCCCATCCCTCACCCCAGTGGTTGGAACCTGTGCCCCCCTACCCAGATGCCAGTGCCCTGTCCTATCCCCCTCCCCAGTGGCTGGCACCCTGTGCCCCCACCCAGGTGCCAGTACACTGTCCCATCCTTCACCCCAGTGGCTGGCACCCTGTGCCCCCTACCCAGGTGCCAGTACACTGTCCCATCCCTCACCCCAGTGGCTGGCACCCTGTGCCCCCTACCCAGGTGCCAGTACACTGTCCCATCCCTCACCCCAGTGGCTGGCACCCTGTGCCGCCCCTACCCAAGTGACAAAAGAGGGACAGCCCAGAGCCCGACTCAGCACAGCTGAGGTCCGCGCACTCCTCAGGATTTATGGGTTATGGGAACCTGACAGCAGGGCCGGCTCTCCAGCACTCAAGGGCAGTCAAAGCCAGAGAGAGAGGTCATGACTTGGCTACACTTCCAGCGCTGCAGCAGCGTGGCTGTGCTTACCGAAGACGCTACCTACACTAATGGGAGAGCTTCTTGTCTTGGCATAATTAATCCACCTCCCTGAGAGGCCAGAGAAACCCTCTCATCCACATAGCGCTGCCTGCACCAGGCGTTCGATCCGTACAACTGCATTACGTGGGGTGTCAATTTTCCACACCCTGACTGACGTAGCTATACTGACGTAAGTTTGTAGCGTAGAGCTCCCTGTATGTCTGTAGCGCCTGGCACAATGGGCCTTGATCTCAGCTAGGGCAGGACCTGTTTCTCCCTGTGTGTCTGTAGCGCCTGGCACATGGGCCTTGATCTCAGCTGGGGCAGGGCCTGTCTCTCCCTGTGTGTCTGGGCAGTGCCTGGCACAACGGGGTCCCGATCTCAGCTGGGGTAGGGCTGTCTCTCCGTTTGTCTGTAGTGCCCGGCACAACGGGGCCCTGATCTCAGCTGGGGTAGGGCTGTCTCTCCGTTTGTCTGTAGTGCCCGGCACAACGGGGCCCTGATCTCAGCTGGGGTAGGGCCTGTCTCTCGCTGTGTGTCTGTGCACAGGTGGACCTCGACCCTGGCTCGTGGGGCTACCATTGTGAGGCTACCTATCAGAGAGTTTGCCTTTAGCAGGACTCTCTACTTTTCCTTAATAAAGCCGGATTTATCGGAGATCTCTGGCCTGGGCTCATTCAGGGGAAGATCTTGCTTATTCCTCCTTGGTCTCTACGGAATTCCATAGGAGATGAAACCAGCCAGACATGGCATAGGGGGCCTATACAAGGACACCAGACTGGAGAATGAATCTCTTTCTGGAGGGTTCTGGATCCAGCCTATGGGATTCTATAGGAGGCAGAGAATTCTATAGGGTTATTCCCTAAGGGAGGGGGAGTGAGCCCTTGGCCTCTGAGCAGCTACCCAAGGGAGATCAGGACTCAGGGGCTTGTTCTGTAAGGCATGGCTGATTCCAGGGCTTGGGGCAAATCAGGGATGAGACCAGAGTGGGGCTGTGACACCAGGCAGGAGGCTTTCCCTCTCTGTGCCTCAGTTTCCCAATCTTAGCCACCCGCTCACCTTGCCAGACCCTGCTGTGGGCTCCCCCTCTGCCCCATTGGCAGCCATGGGGCCCTGGGCCTGGCAGTAGCCCTCGTAGGGCTGCTATAACAGCCCCCCTGCCTGGCTCGGGGCTCCACCCCAGCCCTGTGGGCAGCGCAGAGATGGAGGCAGCAGCATCCAAAGCTTCCCCTGCCCCATTGCCTGATCTCTCCCTTGGGCTGGCGTGGTGACCACAGGGCCCATTCCCTGCCTCCCATGGGTTCCTGGATGAGAGGTCACGGGCCCACATGGAGCAATGCGGCCCCACATATCAGTGCCTCCACCATAGATCAACACAGCTGGGACGATAAAGTCTAATCTTATCGTCGGGGAGGGAGGTGGCAGGTTGCACCCTGAGTGTGTGTGTATTGCGGGGGGAAGTGCCAGGAGTCCAGTGCCAGGTGCCCGAGGAGCAACCAAAATCCCCACAGCCTGGGCAAAGCACATGGGGAACATGGACCCATAGGACAGCCAGCTGCTCCAAGCCAGCAGGGGTGGGGAATGGGACATGGAGCCTTTCCCTTCTCAGGGGCACCGACTCCAATCTGGTCCCAGGCTCCAAAACAATCAGGGATCTCAGCTGGACTTGCCCAGGGTTTCTGTTCCTTTCCCCCTGGAGTGGGGTGCTTTCTCCCCCTTCCCCAGCACACAGCTCAGGCTCTGCAGGAGGCCACTGCTTCCAGTTCCCTGAGCCTCCTGCACCTGGCAGGGCCAGGGTCTAATCCCAGTGGAGAGTTACTGCCGTCTGGGGACGCAGGTGTCGAGGGCCAGCCTGCAGGCCCAGATTAGCATGGGGGAGGGCCGTGCAGGTGTTTGGCTGCCTGTCTATATATGGCAGTGTAATCTGACAAGGGGGCTAAGCTGGTTACTGGCTGCCCTTTGTGGAAAAATTACCGGCCCTGCTGTGACTGGATCATGCAGCCTTGGGCTGACCCCACCGGGAGGCCAACCCATCTGGGCGGTGGGGAAGGTCCTTAGCCCCACCCCACATTGACCACCACCAGGGGTGGGGCGACTTCACTGCTGGCCATCCAGGTTTCTAGCCCAGCTTGCTTCCAGGTAGAAAGCCACTGGGGGATCCTCCCGCCCAACCCACAGCATGACCCAGGCCAGAGCAGCTTCCTGCCATTCCTGCCCTGGGGCATATTTCCTTCCCCCAGTGATTCCTGTTGTTTGCCAGGTGAGAGCTGCGTAGGCAGCTGGGGCTATTTCCTTCCCCCAAGGTGGTCTCCTGAACAAACAGGCTCCTGATTCAACACTTGTGATCGGCCTTTGCCCCCAGGACAAACTTTTAATACCATCTACACAGACAAGCTGCCAAGCAGTGGCTCATCAGCCCCACGCCCCAGCCTGGCCCCAGCGTCGGGGGGGGGGGGGGGGGGGGGGACTGCAGAAGGAAGTTTCATTTCCCTTTATGTTTTCAATCTGACCCCCTCTTCCCGCTCTGATCATAGGCTGCAGTATTCACAGGGGGGCTGCTGCGGTTCCCAGGGACCTGGCTCTCAGGCAACGAGCTGTGCGCCCATGGCACCTGTGCACTGATTGCTCTGTCAGGTCTCCAAAGGAGGGGCAGGCCCAGAGCCAAAGGACGGGCAGTGCGTGTGAGTGAGCAAGGCCCAGGCAGGGACCGGACTGTCTGTGTTGCTGACACCAGTGGCCAGATCGCAGTAGGCAGGTTCTCCACTCACTGGGCCCCAGTGTGAATACTGACGGGGGTTGTGGGAGAATCTGGCCTTGCTGATTGGCGCTACAGGACGCAGGGGGGTCTCAGCCCTCTGAGCCCAAGACCCCTTCCCTCTTCAACACAATGCCCCACACTGTCTCCTCTCCATCCATTGAGCAGGTAGGGGGTGGAGTCTCTCTTGGTGGGGCAGGCTCCACCCCTGCCATTCAAAACATGTCTCCAGCAAGGGGCGGAGTGTCTCTTGCTAGGGCAGGCCCCGCCCCACCCATTCAGAAATAGGTCTCCAGGTAGGGGGCAGAGTTTCTCTTGGCAGGGCCAGGCTCCTCCCCTTCCCCGCTCTCTTGTGCTAGGCTGAGCATGGGGCGCTGGGCCACATGGAAAGTCTTGCCACGCGTGTCTGGTTTCTTCCTGCCTGGGGGCTTCTTCTTCCGAGCCTGCTTCTCGGCTGCCTCCTCCTGCCGGCGCTGCTCCTGCTCCTGCCGGCGCTGCTCCTTCAGTCGCTCCCTCTCCATCCGGCGCTGCTCCTTGGGGGGTGGGGGTGGGGGGTCCACCACAATCTCGGGGATGAGGAAGGCGGGCGCTGGGTGCCTGCCCTTCCTGGGCTGCTGCGCATCCTCCAGCTGCTGGGCGTCGAAGATGGCTTTGGCGTTGGGCAGGCGCTGCTCCGGGCGGTACCCAAAATCAGGCCGGACCTTGCGCAGCTTGGCTAGCTGGGTCCGGCACTCGCGCTCCACATCGCGGTCCGAGACGGCCACATTGTGAACCTGCAGGAGATGGGGGTGGAGGGACATCATGGGGTCTGCGTCTTGAGGGGAGCCCTATGTGCAAAGGGATCCCACGTGCACAGGTGTGAGGCCTCAGGTTGGTGTGTGCAGGGAAGAGAAACAGCAGAGGGCACCATGACAGTCGGGGGGGGGGGAAGAGCCTGTAGCTGCCCAGCCCCGCCCTCCCCTGCAGGGAGCACGGTGCTGTAAGCCCCTCAGGGGGCTGAATTGGGGAAGGGGCAGGACAGGGCAAGGGGGGAGGTCAGAGCTGGGGAGGCGTGGTCCTCAGGAGCTGAGTTGGGGAGGAGGGGCAGAAGAAGGGGGCAGGACAGAGCTAGGGAGACCTGTCTACGAGGGAATGAGTTCGGGAGGGGGCAGGAGAATGAGGGAGGAAGGAGCTGGGGAGGCCTGGCCCTGTGGGGGCTGAATAGGGGAGAGGGGTCTGGCCCTGCCGGGGGCTGTGCTGGAGGCTGGTGAAGGTTCCTATCTCTGCAGCAGAAGCCCAGCCTGGTCCCCACCCTGCGCCTCACCTCGGCCATGAACATGTCCTCCTGCAGTAGGCGGGCTGGGATGCTGCGCAGCTTTTCCAGTGTTTCCACAATGCCCGTGCAATCTCGCAGATTCTCCGAGGAGCCCAGTGCCAGGCGCACCAGCACCAGCCCCACCCGGAACAGCACCTTCACCCCTGCAGGGAGACAGCAGCTGTCAGACCCCAAGCCAGAGGTAGGGGGCGCTGGCGCAGCCCTGAAACAGCCAGGAGACCGGGGGGGGGGGCCTGAAACAGCCAGGGGTACCTAGGAGGAAGCCATGAAACAGCCAAAGGCACCTGGGAGGGGGAGCCATGTCAAGGGAGCTCTGTGTCAGTGAGACAGAGACAGAGAGAGACAGAGAGAATGTGAAACAACCAGGGGGGCCTACGCAGGGAGGCATGAACCAGTCAGGGGAGCTGTGTGTGGGGGACACCATGCAACAGCCAGGTGAGCTGGGGGGAGGAGCCTTGAAACAGTCAAAGGCCCCTGGGAGGGGGGCCAAAAGATGGCCAGTTGAGCCATGAAACAGCCAGGGGACCTGCGAGGGGAGGAATGAAGCTGCCAGCGGAGCTGGGGAAGGTGGAGCCATGAAACAGGCAGCAGGCTTGTGGGGAGCTGTGAAACCACCAAGACAACATGACCTGGCCCCGCCCCCACCCCTCCTAGTCCAGGGCAGCCAGGATGTCTCAGCCCTGGGGGAGCCATAAATCGTGCAGGACCATGCCCCCAGTACGGCCCTGGCTAGATGGCTGGCAGCTGGTGAAGCTCTGGGCTGAGCCAGTGCATCACGCACCCTCGCTGAGGAAGGCATCCCAGATGCGCAGCACGGTGGGGAAGGGCAGGGTGCGGCTGTAGAGGCACAGGAACCACTCGGTGACGTAGAGCAGCGGCCCCACACTGTGCTTCTGCAGGTGCTTGTAGGCCTTGGGGCAGACGCGCCGCAGCAGCGCCACGAAGACCTCGCCATCCAGCAGCACTGCCTCCTGCGGGGGCAACCGAGAGACCATCAGATCTGCCCGCTGCACAGCCCCACCTGCTTCCAAGCACGCAGGCTCCAGCCCCACAGCCCTCTCCTACTCCCCTGCTGGGGAAGACTGGGCTGGGCAGTCCAGGCTCCTCCCCTTCTCTGGTGTCCCAGCGTCCCCTGATGGGGAGGGCATGGCTGGGCAGTCCAGGCTCCTCCCCTTCTCTGGTGTCCCAGTACCCCCTGATGGGGAGGGCATGGCAAGGCAGCTGCAGGCTCTTCCCCCTGCCTTGCTGACTCCACGTTGCATCTCATAAGGGTCCATTCCCATCCTGGGGGAGGGGTGCAGGGGGGTTCTCACCATCTCAGGGCTGTAGTAACCGGGCAGGTAGCGCTCACTGATCTGCACCAGGCACCAGAAGGCTTGCTGTAGAGGAGGGGGAGCCATTAGCCAGGGGGGATGTCGGGGTCCCCGGAGCACACGGGGAGGGGGAATGAATAGAGGAGGGGCACAGGGTTTATGCGAGGGGGAAGGTGTGTATCTTGTGTGAGGAGGAGGGGAACTGGCTGCCCTGGCATGCAAAGGGGCCTGAGGGTGGTTGTTAATGAGGGCTGGGAGTGGGGTTGGTGACCCATGGGGGGCGGGAGGGTGGCCCGTGTGGGGATGGTAGCTGGCTGCTCCATGGGGGAGGGCAGTGAGGGCCAGTGCCCATGAGTGGACGGGGTTATATCACAGGGCAGCACAACAGCAGTGGGGGAGGGGCAGGGCGGTGAGGCGGGGTCAGTGCAGTTGGGGGGGTGCCCCATGGGGGAGGGCATAGTTCCCAGTAGTTGCTGGGCATGACTCACCTCAGCAGGCATGTGCATGAGCAGCACTGCAGCCACAGGACCCTGGGCCTGGCAGTAGCCCTCGCGGGGCCGATACACGGTGTAGGCCTTCAGGAGCTGCATGAGTCCTCGCTGCCTGCACGGATGGGGCTGGGTGTTAGAGTTCGGCTGGGACATGGGGCACACGGTGCAGAGCTCCCTTCCCATACAGGACCAGAACACTGAGCCCAACTAGCCCAGTATCATCCCCTGCCCCCACCCATACCCCACCCTGTGTCGGATCAGACCTTTGGGAAGAGAACCCAGGTGTCCTGAGTCCATGAGGCTACATATATATAGAATTCTCTAAATAGATACCTAGCGGGGAGTCTATTGGGTGGATGGATGGAGAGAGGGAGGGAGGAGTAGGATAGGGATGGAGGGAAGGATAGGTGTGGATGGGGATGGAGGGAGGGAGGGATAGATAGAAGGAAGGAGGAGTGTGGATAGGGATTGGGTCACACACTCCCCCCCTCCGAGGGGTTTGGGGGTAACTCTGCTGCCCAGCAGGGCACTCCCCAGGGGGTATCGTTCAGTTGCAGGTTGCCCCGGTGTGGGGGGATGACTCTGGCTCACATGCCTGAGTGGTGCCCCGGCCGGCGTGACTCAATGCCATGGACCCCAGCCGCGTTCCCCCTGCCCCTTGGACAATCCCTGCTCTCTAACTGGAACCACTGGGAGCTGGTGTCAGTAGGAAGACAGCACCACTCAGTGGCGAGTACCGGGAATGGGAATCACAGGCCCACTACGGCAGCGCTGCCCAGCTGTGAGGAATGTCCTGGGCTGGGGGCAGGACACAGCACCCCACTCCGGCTGCAGGGACAACTCAGGCATCAGCCCCAGCAGGGCTTCCCCTCTGCTCCCCCAGCACTTGGCTGTGCCCCCGCCGCTCCCTTACCCATGTCCCTCAGGCGACAGGAACATCTCGTGGAAGGGGAACTGGCGGTGGATGTCCTTCTCAATGGTCTCCAACCACTGCGGGTCGCCAGGTGACTGTTCCAGTTCCTACGGCGACACGGCAACAGGTGACCATGGCGACAGGAAGTGGGCCACACCACCCTATCCCTGGGGCAGGGGCTCAGGGTTAGCGGCAAGAGATCAGGGCCTGGGGTGGGTGTTAGCGGCTCCCTGCACGGTGGTTGTGTTTGCAGGTGTAGTGTGGGCCAGGAGGGGTGCCAGAGCATGCTGGACTCAGCCCAACTGGATGCAGGTCCTTTGGGTCTGGCTGAGACTAACCCAGAGCAATGGAAGCCCAATGACTATCACCTATCAGCAAGGGCTCCCGGCAGGCTGAGCATGTGAACTCAGTTGCGGTCTCTCACCTGGGACTGAGGGACAAAGGGACAGGGACAGAGAAAGGAAACTGCACAGTTCTCACAGCAGCAGCATGGCTCATGGAGTCCTGGTGCGGATCAGGATGGATGATGTCTTAATCTTTGTCCCTCTGTTCCTACTCTCAGGACTCCCCGCGCCATGTGCCAGCAGGCTAACGAAACCTGCTCTGGTTGGAAAAGCTGCCCTGTGTCACTGCAAACACTGGATGGGGTGCCCGGAGCCCTGGAGAGGGTGAATGTCTCTGACCAGGTGTCTGGCTCAGTTGGGACTCACGGGGCAGAGCTCACGGCACAAAGCAAGAGGGCTGGAGTCCAGCAGCTCCTTCTCAGAGGCATTGAAGCCTTGTGGCCAGCGCTCGGGAGACTGGTACACTGAAGGGTACCAGTCCACCACAGCACTGTTTATAAGCTAGGTCATAGCACAGATCCAGTGGATCCATGCCTCGAGACGTCCTATTCTGCCACTGATGATGACTCACCCTGGGGCCAGATCCTGTTCTCCTGCCAATCACCCCATGGCAGTCAGCAGGGTTAGGGAGAACAAGATTGGGCCCGTTCACCCTGTATATTAACCCCCTGTCCTCTGGCCCTGGGGAGCTGAGAGCTCCCTCCTGCCACTGCAGCAATGCAGGTGCCTGCTGCAAGAGCTAAAGGAGCGCTTCTCTAGCAGCAGTGGTAGCTGGGATGTTATCCTCTCTGCACGCTAGCCAATACAGGGTAGCCTTGTGCATATCCAGCGCCTAGAGCCAGGCGTGCGGAAGTGTGGGAGGCAGCTGGCTCAGAGCTTGGGGGCATCGGCATGGATGCAGGTGGGGCAGAGTGTGTGTGTGGGGGGGGGGGGGGGGCGTGAGGATGCCGAGGGAGAGTGGGAGCCGCGAGGGAGGCAGGGGGAGCTGGTTACCTTGTACTTGCCATGGTTGCGGTCCATGCTGGCCTGCCCTCCGCACAGCAGGGGCCAGCAGCGGGCGCGCATGGACGAGGGGATCCCTTTACGGCACAGGACCTTCACCTGGAGCCAGAGAACTGCATCAACCATAGTACAACCCCCCACAGGACAGGGCCAGGGAGAGGGGGCCCAGCATGGTGCCACACTAGACAGAGCCAGGGCCCTGGGACACGGGCTTCAGGGGCAGGGAGACCCTAGCTCCAGGGGGCTCAGCTGTGTGGCATTACACTGTCAGGAGACGTAATGGGGGAAACCCTGGCAACAGCTGATTCCTTGGGGGAGTGGAGCACACTGGGGTGCCCTCTGGGGAGACTGGTTGCTCCCTGGGGGGATTAGCAGGGCCCTTTGGGGTGCCCCATGGGAGGGCTGAGTGCCCCATTGGGCAATCGGCATGGCCCCATAGAGGGTTGGGACTTCTCTGTGGCTCCTCCTCACCTTCTTGTACCTCCTGGCCATGGCCTTCTCCCAGTGCGATGTCATCTCCAGCCATCTGGCTTCCCGGTGCCGGATGAGCTCTACTGGGGGCTGACCCAGGCTGGATGAGGGGAAGAGAATGGGTATCAGGCCAAAGGCCATCTCCTCCTTGCCCTGTGCCTCCATTCCTCCCATCTCTTTGTCCCTCTGGTGCACCCCTTCTACCTCTCTTTCATTCCCCCTTTCCTCCTCCTTGGGCCCCCTCTCCTCCCTCATTCAGTAGCCACACGAAGCTCCCCTCCTGGGGCACTACTCTGGGAAGAGAGCACAGCCTCCTCATTGCCCATCCCGTCTGCTCCTTCCCCTCCAGGTACTGCTGCCTCAGCTCCCTGTACCCCTGCCCTACCTTGGGGCTGGGCAGGGGGAGGCAGCACCTGGGAATGTGAAAACTAAACACTGGGCAAATCAGGATGTTCCAACATGACCTTAACTCTGACCCCTCTCCTGCCTAACCCCAGCTACAGGCTGGTGGCACCCTCACCCTGCCAACTCTACCCCGAGAAGAGCCATGGACCTCCCCCCGGCATCACCCTCACATTCTGCATGCTGAGGAAGCATTGGCTTAACCGTCTGTTACTGTTTAGAGACCCAGAGCATTGCTTTTCACCCTCCGTGTGCTCCAGAGACACCCCACAATTCCCACCCTCCCATCAGAAGCACAGATCTGGATGTATTCCCTCTGCCATGGAGACCATGAGTTTGAGTAACGACCAAGTAAGCAAGGAATAATGATTAACAACTAACGTGTGAGTAATGTCTGAGTAAATACTTAGTAATCCCGAGTAACAAGTGAATAAACACTGAGATTAGCAAGTAATCGCTGAGTAGCGTCTGAGTAAATATCAAGTAATGCTTGGGTAATGACTACATAAACCCAAGTAGCGGCAAAGGAGTGATCAAGTAACAAATGAGTAAACCATGAGTAATGGCCAGGTAAACACCAAATAGTGACTCAATAAACACTTAGTAACAATTTAGTAAACCCTGACTACCGAGTAATGACTAAATGACCACCACACAATGCCTTCATAACCGCTGAGTAAACCCTGAATAATGACTGAGTAAATACTGAGCAATGGCTAAGCAAACACCAGGTGGCATTTGAATAATAAGCAACTAAACATGAAGTCATAGCTGAGTAATTGACCTAGCAAATACCAAGAGCTCAACTCCCTGTTGCCCTGGACCTAGGGGCCTCTGCATAAAGACTCCCTAGGGCAGTGGTTCTCAAATTTTGTACTGGTGACCCCTTTCACCTAGCAAGCCTCTGAGTGCGACACCTTTATAAATTAAAAACACTTTTTTATATATTTAACACCATTATAAATGCTGGAAGCAAAGTGGGGTTTGGGGTGGAGGCTGACAGCTCGTGACCCCCCATGTAATAACCTCACGACCCCCTGAGGGGTCCCAACCCCCAGTTTGAGAACCCCTGCCCTAGGGAGTCTTTTTGCAGAGGCCCCTAGGTCCAGGTGCAAAGTTGGCTCTGCCAGTTCATGTGTCACCTTGCAGCAGCCCCAGGTCGACGGGGTGTCCTGGGGGCAGAGCGGGGACACACTGGGGGGAGGTGCTGCACTGTCTCTGACTGTTCTGTGCAAAGCTCCATCGGTCCACCGCAGCAGAGGCACTAGTTGAGGCAGCCCCAAGGGTTGTTGTAGCCTGTGAGGAGTGCAGAACTGGCGCCTGCCACAAACTGCCTGCCCTCCATCTGGGCCTATGTAACAACTGAGTAATGAGTGCGTAAACACTGAGGCCTAGTCTACATATAAAACTTAGGTCAACCGAGCTACCTCACTCAGGACTGTGAAAAACATCATGCCCTGTGCAACTTAACCCCGACTGCAGACACAGCTAGGTTGATGGAAGAATTCTTCTATTGGCCTAGCTACTGCCTTTCAAGGGGAGTGGATTTACTACAGCGACGGAAAAATGCCTTCCCTCACCATAGCAAGTGTCTACACTATAGTGGTGCTGCTGCAGCGGTGCTGCTGTAGTGCTTCTTGTGTAGACATACGCTGAGTAATGAGTGAGTAAACATTGAGTAACGAGCGAATAAACATTGAGGAAAAAGTAAATATTGAGTAATGAACATGCAAAAGCAAAGTAATGAGTGAGTAAACAACATGGCGTAACGAGTGAGTAAACACTAAGAACATAAGAGCGGCCATACTGGCTCAGACCAATGATCCCTCTAATCCAGTATTCTGTCCAATGCCAGGTATTTCAGAGGGAATGAACAGAACAGGGCAATTATTGAGTGATCCATCCCATGTCGTCCACTCCCAGCATCTGGCAGTCAGAGATTTAGGTACACCCAGAGCATGGGGTTGTGTCCCTGACCATCTTGGCTAATAGTCATTGAAGGACCTATTCTCCATGAACTTATCTAATTCTTTCTTGAAACCAACTATACTTTTCACCATCACAACATCCCTTGGCAACGAGTTCCACAGGCTGACTGTGTGTTGTGTGAAGAAATACTTCCTTTTGTTTGTTTTAAACCTGCTGCCTGTTAATTTCATCGGGTGACCCCGGGTTCTTGTGTTATGTGAAGGGGTAAATAACACTTCCTTATTCGCTTTCTCCACACCACTCATGATTTTATAGACCACTACCATAGTCCCCCTTAGTCATCTCTTTTTCAAGCTGAACGGTCCCAGTCTTTTTAATCTCTCCACATGTAAAAGCTGTTCCATACCCCTAATCATTTTTGTTGTAATGAGTAATGAGCACCTAAACACTGGGTAATGAATGTGTAAACACTGACTATTAAGTGTGTAAACACTGAGTAAAGAGCGAGTCAACACTGAGTAAAGAGTAAGTAAACACTGAGTAATATGTGAATAAACAGAGTAATGAAAGAGTAAACATTGAGTAATATCCACATAAACACCGCGTAATGAGCGAGTAAACATTGAGTAATGTCCACATATAAAGTAATGAGCATGTAAACACTGAGTAATGAGCGAGCAAATACTGAATAAAGAGGGAGTAACCTACAGAGCTTCCCTCTCATACTCTTTTATCAGGAGATGGGTGTGGGCAGCGAGGGGTCTGCTGGGCAGGGGAATTGCCTTTGGGGGCAGGTTGGCAGCCCCATTACAAGTGATCTTCCCAGCAGCACAGAGCAGATCCACGGAGTGAGGCTGTAGGAATGGATCCCAGGGAAAACGGGTGTGGGGCTGAACAGGGCTGTTCTCTCTTCTCTCCTGGACCCGTTCACACCCTGAACCGCTCGGCGGGGTGAGGTGGGGGAGGCTGGGACGCTGACGTCCCTGACCACACACCGCTGCAAGCACGGTGTGCACATCGCCATGGAGACGGGGACAGGATGTGGCCGAGCCGTGAGCTGCTGAAACAGGAAGTGTTAGTTCATGCGGGTGGAGGGGTGCAGGGTGCTCCCCTCCCTTGGCCCAGCACCAACAGTGCTCAGAGCCCTTCCCAGAGGGGTTAGGGGCTCTGGCTCTTCTCTGAGGCTGATGTGGGCCCAGGGCCAGCTCTAGGTTTTTTGCCGCCCCAAGCAAAAAGATTTTTGGCTGCCCCCCACTCCAGCCCTGGGCTCCCCCTGCACCCCACTGCTGCCCCAGCCCTGGACTCTACCCCCCTACCTGCACCCCCTGCCGCCCCAGAGCTGGGCTCTCCCCCCTACCCGCACCCCCTGCCGCCCCAGTGCTGGGCTCTCCCCCCCCACCCGCCCACCCCCTGCCGCCCCAGCCCTGGGCTCTCCCCCCTACTCCACCTGCACCCCCTGCCACGCCAATCCTGGGCTCTCCCCCCCCGCCACCTCACCCGTCAGGGCTCCCGCCTCTAGGACCGTCCGGGACCCGGGAGGGCAGAGCCGGGGGACCACCCCGGCAGGGGGCTGAGGAGCCGGGGCAGGGCAGCCCCAGATGGAGTGGAGCCCCGGAGAGCGGGACACAGGCCCTGCACGGCAGCGCCCCACCCTCTATGGCCCCGCTGCTGCTGCTGCTTCTGGCTGCCCTGCCGCAGTCCCTGGGCGGCTTGGGCTGCTTCACCCAGCCCTGGCTGCGGCGCTGGGGGATGGCCGCCCTGTGGCACCTGCAGACAGCTCCGTGTGCCCCACCGGGTGGCCCCCAGCCCGAGTGTCCCACTCTCGGAGCCCGCCTGGCCATAAGGTGCGGGCGCTGCTCCCTGACGCAAACCGCAGCGGCCCCAGGGCGCCCCCCACTGCTGCTGCCAGGGCCGGCTCTAGGCTTTTGCTGCCCCAAGCGCAAAAAAAAAAAAAAAGGGTGGCCGGAATGCTGCCCCTGAAAATGTGCCGCCCCAAGCACCTGCTTGGTTTGCTGGTGCCTGGAGCCGGCCCTGTGTGGGCCTCACACCCCTCATTACCACACGTCCCCCCCAGAACCCCAAGAAAGACTAGGGCCATGGACAGGTGTGAGCAGCCCAGAAGGAAACCATAGCTTCTGAGCTCATGTCCTCTGCAGGATCATGGCATGATAATGGGGCAGAGCTCCCCAGCTTCTCCCAGGGCTGGGGCATTCTCCAGGCCTCGGTTCCTAGCAGTCCTGAGGGGACATCCCTAAAGACCCGCTCTAGCTCATGACAAGTTCTGGGATCAGTGCAGGAGTCACCTCAGGGCTCCGCAGGAGATCAGACTAGACCAGTGGTTTTCAATCTGTGGTCCACAGACCCCTGTGGGGTCTGTAGATCATGTCTAAGATTTCCAAAGGGGCCTGCACTTCCATTTGAAATTTTTTTGGGGTCTGTAAATGAAAAAAGGTTCAAAACCACTGGACTAGATGATCAGAACAGCCCCTTCTGGCCTTCCAGCCAGGGATTCAGGATCCTTCCCATGCCTCCATGCATTACATTGACATCATAGTTTGCATTTAATTTCCTACAGTTTTCGTAATGAACAGTGAGGAAGGGGAGGAAAATCCCCTCCAAAGACAGAGCTTCCATCTCTGGTGTTCCCAAGCTCTGCTCCTTTGCAGATGCACCTTGCAGATTTCAGAACTGGGATCTGTTTGGTTAGACCCTACCTAAACATGTCCCCCCTCCAAGGGAGGACCCTGGATCCCTGACTGAGCCAGTAGTTAGAAAACCCCACCCTGTCATCTGCCTTCAGCACACTGTGCATTTAAACAACAACAACCACACAGACCTTAGCCTTGCCATGCTGGACAATCACCACTAAACCCCTTGGCACTAGCTAAGCTTAGCCCTCACATTTGTTATCACCATCAGCTAGCCCAGTGTCCAGGGAGACACCCCAATAAGCCAAGTCCCAGGGAAGCAGGAGAGGATGTTATAGTAACATAGCATCTTTCATCTTGCAGCACTTTGCAGTCAATGCTGGCTGTGTGAGCTGGGGCAGGTCACCTGCCCTGCTTGGTGCCTCAGTTTCCCCATCTGTTCAATGGGGAGTAGGACACCGACCCTGCACCCCTCCCATCCAATAGGAAATGGGATGGCAGGTGCTCTGGAAGAGCTAGGTGTTATTGTGATCATAGAGAGTTATGGGGCTGCAGCTGCCTCTAGGGAGGAGGGCACCCACAGGACACTGTGCTGCAGGGAGCGTGGCAGCAGCGTGGCACACTGACACCAGGGTGGCATGGGCTCTTCCGAACCCCGCCCCGAAAGCTCCAGCAACCTCAGCTGATCCAGCCATGAGGCTGATGGCCTGAGCCGGCCCTCCCTGGATACAGCTTTGGGGCTGTACACCCACTCGTGATTTCCCAGCTGGGGGAAGGTACAGAGAGTGAACTGGGGTTCCCAGGGGCCGTTGTGCCTCCCCAGCAGGGGGCCTGCCCTCAGTAGCATCTTGGCTGTAGAGACCCTAGAGGGCACGCATGATATTCCCTGGGTCGGGGGATCCCCTACATCAGGCCGTTAGGGAGATGGGGCTGGTGCACAGGGCCCTGATGCAAGAGTCCCAAACAGTCCTCGCCCCCAGCGCCTGAGACTCTCCTTCCTCAAACTCTGCCTCTTCCCTGCTTCTGCCCCACCCCTGGGGGGCAGCAGGACTAGGAGAGAGGTGGGGGCAAGGCCACAACCACAAGCTGCTCTACTTGGGTGTGGGCTGATTCCCCAGTCCCGGGGCTCAGCTCCTCTGTGTATGTCCATTCTATGGGCTTGAGCACCCCATATCCTCAGCTTACAGAGCGGGGAGATGCTGGATCCAGGCTCAGAGCCCAGGGGATTGCCCTGCGGGACTGGGAATGTGGGTATCAGCCCAGCACCCACTATGGCTCCAGGGAGCAAGAGATCAGGACGAGGAATGGGAGCCAGGCATCCGGGTCAGCCATGCAGGGTGCTCACCCCTAGGGGACACAGAAATGCCCTTCGCAGCACCCCTACTCCCTCTGCAATGCCCCCTTTGAGTACTCCCATGCCCAGGCCTGCCCCACTTACCCATCCTGGGCACCACTGGCCCCAAGGAAGCCATAGCGGTCGGTCTGGCGATAGGGGGCGGCCCCGTTCAGCTCAGAGTCGGAGCCCAGCGAGCTGGAGTCGTCATGGCGCCCCAGGGCCGAATCGAAGGCATCGGACAGCTCCTCCAGGGTACTGAGGCTGGAGGAGTCGGCGGAGGACATGGGGCCGGACGCCATGCCCACGAGCCCAGCACCCTGCAGGGGGAGGGAGGGCAGGGAGAGAGGCCCTCAGTGAGTGCCCAGCACGGCCAGCCCAGAACCGAACACCCCAGGAGACAACCCCAGAGTCTGACCCAGCGCCACCCAGAGGATTCAGGGGACCTGGGGCAAAGCAATTTCAGGGGCCCCTTCCATAAAAAAAGTTGCAATACTATAGAATACTATAT